TTAGCAAAAATAAAATGTCACAACAACTCTAATAAGTAAGTTATCAGTGTAAAATTGTTAGCTGAAAACTTTTTCATCCTATGTTGGCTATTTATTCATAAACCTTAAACATTAGATTCATTTTGCAAAGCAGTTTAAGTTAAATTTACTTTCTCTTAGCTTTTTATTCATTTTTATCAGAAATCATTATAGTAGGTTAGATTAATCGAAACAGTTTTAATTGGATATTTCAGGAAGAGTTACTTTATATGTAAATGTTAAATTAAACGATTAGAACTACAAAAAGTTTTGTGTAGTTTCTTCGGAAATATTATATTATATATTGTTAGAATTGCAATAATTGTTGCAATAAATAACTCATAAAAATGGTTAAGAATTTGAAATTTTAAATTTCGCCGTTATCTTTGTGAAATAGAATCGGGTCGATGGGAGTGAAAAGTGATAGGAACGCTATTTATTTACTCATATAAAGAACACTTTGCAAAAAAAAAACAAAGCAAAAAGCTATGGTAATCGATAGTGTAATAAAAAAAGGCACAAATTTATCCAACGTTTTGCAAAAAAGCTCGTTGATATAACAATTGAAGTAAGGTGGTAGATTTTTTGAATTTCAGAAGGAATAAACTATGCAAGCAAACTTTACAAATTTCAATGCAATTTTATAATGTATAATTTTATTTAATACACTGACACAATCAATCATCTTAAAGAGCAATTTTTAGAAAAGTATAGAAGGAATATTTTGACAACTTTTTTATTGGAAATTTTAAACCTATTCAAAAAAAAAAAAAAAAAAATGCTACTCTTAAATAGCGGTGATATTCGGCTGTAGAAACTTGAAAATGTATTATAATTGTAGCATTTGGATCCAGTTAAATTTTGCTGCTGACCTTTGACCTCGGTAATTTTATGCTGACATGATATAATGCTGAGAGTGATTCAGGAGGAAAAATTACTATTCATTTTATTCTATGCACTAAAAAGTTGGGAAAGAATTATATGCGACTAAATAGTAATCACAGCTAATATACAATTAATATAATTTAAATTGTAATTAACAGTTTCGCACATCGTTTAGACATTGTAATGACAAAGATCTGTCCAAGCATTTTTGTCTGACCTTGATATATTTATTTATGCTTGCTTAGTACTGTCGTAAATTAGCGAAAAGGATAAGGAGAAGAAGTGAGATGAGAAGGTTACCACCGGTTCACCTTCAACTAATCATTCATCAATTAAAATAACCTGCAACCGTTATTATTGTCTTTAATAGATGCTGAATGTCAAGGTCATCGCTGTCTCCTTCCCTTGACCACTGGCTCTCTTGTCTCGTTCAAGTCACGCCTCTTCTCATCCATTGCCAACCGACTCTATCCTCTACTAAGAATTATATGTATGTTTGTGTATGTGTCTGCGTATATGTGTGTGTGTGAGCTACATATATATATCTATAAATATAATTCCAGAAGCGCTTTCAGTTCACATCTTCCATTCGTCGTCCATTCAGTTACATGGTGCCATTTGGGGTATATAACAAAACTTTGCTAATATTTTAAGTTTTTCAAAATTTGAAATTTGAAAAGCTTACACTAAAACTTTAAAATTTTACAAAAAAATATTCATTTGTTGTAATTTAATCAATGTTTTTTAAGCGACATTTTCATGTAATTTCTAATAATATCTTTCACTGTTTTCAGTTCCAATTTTTAATCTTCAAATTTTAGACTTCTTATGAAGATTTTAAAAACAATCTTTGAAGTAAAACCTTATTATGACTCAGAGCTAAATTTACAGTATTCCAGAGGAAAGCACGCACGATTACAGTAATTAGCTACCTTAATGCAGCACATTGATATTTGAAATGACTTGCAGTGACCTTTCCAAAACAAAGTTATACACTTCGCTGTGTCAACGTGCGCATAAATACTCGAACTTTTTCCATTTCCATCATTTGAGGGCTAATAAAAGTAGATAGTCAAACATATTTTTTGAATCTAAGAAATTGAAATTTCATATTTACCAAGTGGCATTGAAAAGTTTGTTGAGAGCTCCAATTTAGCACATAAATTTCTAATTTTATCTATTATCTTAAAATATTGGTTTTGTGCGTAAAATTTAATATTTATTCCAATTAAAAAAAAACAAAACCAAATTTGAATTTGGACCAATTAATATATGATTTGTAGTATTCAAAAGTTTTATATAACGAAAATCAATTTTGCTAAAGAAAATTTCTACAGTCGCTAAAATCTTTATGAAATTTTTTTAAAAAAATTTCCAAAATTTTACGAAGATTAAACTGGATTTCTCCAATTTTTTGCAAATTTTATAAATCTTTAAAAGGATTGTTAATTTCTGATAATTTTTCATTCTTTTTTCTCAAAATTCACTTTAAAAGTGTCAAAATTTAAATCTTCGACAAGGCATAAGATTTAAAGGATTGAGCAGACCTTTGGACCCTTGGATCTATGGATTTTGCAGCTGTTTAGTTGTTTCAAATGTTCACAGCTTTCATCTTAAAATTGATCGACTGAAAAGATAGGAAGTAGAGAAGAAGAAGCGCAAATAATATCAAAATGGCTTTTCGTGTTGTTGCAAGCAGTGACGCTAGACACTGTCCAATATTGGGTCTCCATTCATTCAAATTTCAAATCTGAATTAATTAGTTATAAAATTGCCTTCCAGAGAGAATGCCCATTTAGTGCTTTAATATGCTTCATAGTATGCTTATGCTTTAATTACTTTTTTTGCTTCTTGTGAATTTGCAAGTTCAAATTCATAGAGCTTTTTAATGACATTTCTTAAATTTTAGTTTTTTGAATGTTTAGATAATAGATTAAAACAACTGTCCTGCTCAACTCAGATAATTTTGTGAAATAGTTGCATTGTATGTCATTGATAAATTATTGAAATTTCAGGGAAAAAAAAGAGGGAAAGGGTCAGAAGGGTGGCGGCGCAATCGAACTTCACCGCAAACTCTTCAGATGTCTCTTACCAGCTACCTACCTATCTACCTGCGCCCTCAAAATAATCATTTCGCAAAGTGAAAAGACCCACTGTTAATTTCATATTAATCCAATACGACACATTCATCACTGCTGAATTTAATTTACAATCTACCGATATCACTCGTATTTTTCATCCTTCGACAATATCAAAAAGCACAGTCGCCTTCCCAACAGGTGATTTACCGGACGTTGTTCATTTTGTTGGTATAAATGTTAGAAATATTCACATATGGTTCCAATCAGAGTTACTCGTATGTGACGTAACCTTTGGATACCATCTGGGCATTATCTTCCTCTCATATATACCAATGCAAAATGATTAACTGAAAAGAGCAACCTCTCTCTAAAAAAAAAAAGAAAAAAACAAAATTGGGACAAATTTTCTTCTTAATTGCAATTAACGTATGTGTTAAAGAAGAGGGAATAAGAAAATAAGTAATTAGCAATTAAGCATAGCTAATAAAAGCAAACACATAATAATGAGATAATGAATGAATGACATTTCAGTGAGACAAATTTTGCTGAAAACTAAAAGCATATGAGGCAAAGTTTTTTCCTTTTATTCATTTTCATTGCTGATATTTTCAACAATTTTATTTCCATCAGCTCAAAGGTCACAATTTCTTATTGATCTTTTTTTTTGGAAAGGATTTAAAAAAGTTTCTACTGAAATCATTGTATCGATTAAGTGTAATTAAATATCTTTCGTTTCCTTTCATTTCTTTTGCTATTTCATAATTAAATAGATAGCTGCAAATAATTAGCTATTTATTTATTTATTTTTCTAAAAACCGTTCTATATATTCATATTTATAGTTCAAATTTATAACTATCGTTTTTTTTTTTTTTTTTTTTTTGATTTCATAGTTCATAGAACTCATTGTCTATTTGAAATTCGACGAAATCATTTTAGTTCTAATTCCTATCATTATTCATTTCGAATTTAATTAATCAGTGCTTAGTTCATATCAATATTCTTTTTTCTACATTAAGTTTAGTTCGTAGTGTTCTAAATTCGAAAAGGGAGATTCTATTTCAAGTTGAGAATCAATTATAGCATCAATAGTTCTCAATAATAACTGGAAGGATGACATCTTGCCACACTGTCTAAGCTGTCGTAAATTAATTTGAATTAATTATGCTCATCCCTGCAAGTAAACATTCCTAAATATTTATTTTGAAAGACCCGCGGGCATCGGTCTTTTTTTCTTTGATATGTTCAAGTTGTTAATTGTTTGTATTATTCAACATCTCACCAACATATCTTTCTCACATAATTACTTCTATTGATTTAAAAGTACACTATAACCTCGATCTAAATTAAAATTAATCACTAAATTAGGTCAACTAAAATTGAAATAATTTCTCACAAAAATATTTACATTTTAATCCTTTTCTTACTCTTTTTTTCTGTTTTTTAATTTTAAATTAGAAATTTTAATTCTTACTTTTGTTAAACGACTGAGCAAAAATTAAATTAATGAAATGTTTCTTAGAGTCTTTCAAAATAGTTTTGTTGCAAATTCTTTATAATCAAAACAATCAATTGTCTAGCATTCCATCTAAACCGCGCTAATTTTAATGAATTTAATAAAATTTTAATTTTTCGTGCATAATTTTTATCTGATTGTTAGATTTTAATATTCAAAATTTAAATTCATCATTTCCTAAACTTTTATCAACACCCGGAATATATGTATTTCAGGTCAGCTACTGAAAATGTTGAGAATGAAGACAACAATCTAATCGGTTAATTTTGTTTTGATCTCTTTTTTTATATATGTAATTAAATTGTAATTAGAAGTTCAAAAATGTAATTAGCCTTAATGACTGATACCTAAGAATTACAAAAGGGTTCATTACATCAACGTGTAGTGTCGCACATGGTAAATATCTGCATTTTCTTATTTGAAAGTAAACTTTTAATCCAAAGATATGTATTAGAGATATTCTACTAATGCAGTGAAAATATAAATTAATTATTTAGGAAATATGGATAACGTTGTAAGTGAAAATTCGCAAATTGAAATGACTTCTAATAATAAGAAAGAAATGGAAGGAGTAAGATTTATGAAATTTCTTTTTACAGTTCTATTATTTCATTTTCAATAGTTTTTACTTTTTTTTTTTTACAGAATTGTTATAATTTATGAATTGCAAATTTAATTAAATAATTTGACATATATTATTTTATGTGAATTAGTAAGAATCACTGTTTTCAGACAGCATTGGCCGTCTTAATGAAAAATAGCGCTCAGGTATTCGGAAGCGCTGAAAACGTTTTGAAAAAACGATTATTTGCCGATGTCACCAACTGGTAGAATATTTCTTATTTGAAATTAAATGATAAATTAAGCATCAAATAGCTCACAGTTGACTTATTCTTCCAATTAATAATGCATTCGGAAAATAATGCAAATATAAAATTTGAAAAATGTGAATTTTAACTGCTTTGTTAGATAATTAGATTTTTCAATAAAAAAAATTTAACTTGCGCTCTCAAGAAGAAATAGCGATAGATCTTATAAAATTCTACAAATAAAAAAAAGTAACTCGGCGTAAGTTTAAGCTTTAGTATGGCTAAATTTATAAGTATCTTAAAATATTGATTCATTTTAATGGAAGAGACGCATCAGTTAAATAAAAGTTTAGTATTGGCGCTATTTGTTAGGAAGAATGTAAAGTATTATTATTATTTATTTTCAGCCAAAATAGCAAATGTCAAAGGCGAAATGTTCAAAAGAATGACCGACTGCAAACTTCCATCACGGATTATGCTGTCGTCAAGCATAAGCAATCAAATTTTGAAAATTTCAAGAATGAAGAAGCTGCGAAAAGCTTGAAACAAAGTGAATGTATTGCTAAGATATCCCTTTACTCTCCTCGGTCAACTTCTGAAATGGACACAGAAGATCAAATGATGGACGATTCACTGTGTTCCATTCAAAATGACAGTGATATCGAAATGCATGAATTACAAAGTCGCTTTAGTCAGACACTCGGGAAGCGTTTCAGTGTGGCGCAACAGGATACTCGCAAAAATATGCAAGAACCATTGATTAAACGGCGGAAAGAAGTAATTTAAATAATTTATCAAAATGTTAACCTTTGCAAGGAATGCTTGAAGCCTAGAAGACTGACAGTTTGAGATATGTCGAAATTCTCTTTCTTATTAGAACAGAGTAATGAAGTTAATCTCATCCCTTTGCAAAGATTCATGAATATGAAGCTTGCTAAGTGTTATCAAAGCAATCATGTTTATCATTTATCGAGAAACAAAGATTAAAAAATTAAGGATGAAAAGGAACAATTAGAAACAGAAGCTGAAAGTAGCAGCAAAGAGCAAAATAAGGAAAATGAAATGGAAAAGGCAAACGAGAATGTGGATTGTTTTTTTAAATCTGTTAGTTATTTAATTTCACCCATTAAAATTAACTTAACTTGCAGATTTGGAAAATATTAATCCAAAATTTTGTAGATGATCAAAATCACAAGTTTAAAATTCTTCAAATTATAATTTAATTTGATTTGATTTATATATATATTTTATTACGCCTCGTATGCAATTAGCGTTTCGATAAAATTTTCCTTTAGTAACAAAATGGTAATAATATTAAGCATAAATTTATTGATTTCCAATTTGTTTCAAAATTTTTTTTTTAAAATATTTTCAAAAACGATAAAATTCTCAATATTTTCAGAAATATTCATTAGTAACTGTACAAAAACCATGCATCCTCACAGCTGGCTTTGCATGCATTGAAAAAGTCGTCCTGAAAGAGTTGCTAGGATCAATGAAATCTCAGGAATTCATCGAGAAATACGCTCTTATCGATTGCCGATATCCATATGAATATGAAGGTGGACATATTAAGGTAAGGAAGTCATCCAGAATGAAAAAGTTCTATACTTGATAGAAATTTTACGAAGTAATTTGTAAACATTAAAATTAATAACTCATAACATATAATTTTAGAGTATATAAAATATAATGCATCATTAACTTAATTTTATATGATATACTTTTTTTTTTTTTCAAATGTCACCAATACGGTACTATTGAGCGTAACATATATATGTGCTAGTTATTTTACAAATAGTCTTAAATGAATGTTAAGAATATTTCGAATAAGTAATGAATATAGATGAAATAAGTATTTATTTCTATTTTAGGGAGCGTTAAATATTTATGATCCTGTAGCACTGGAAAATACTTTTTTTCCTGATTGTTCAACTAAATTTAAAATAATGGCTAAAAAAATTCCAATATTTTACTGCGAATATTCAAGTGCTCGAGGGCCAATGCTGTATGTTATTAACATATTTGTTTATTTAATCAAATTTTGTACATTTATCATTTGTTTAACATATAACTTATATAATAAATTAAATAGGACAAATTAATTCAATTCTATTATATTCATTTCCAGATTTCCAATATAATTTCTGACATTGGTACCGCAATTCCAATGTAAACAAATTGTCTCTTTTCCTGCAGTTGTAATACTGCATGAAAAGAGACAGTTTTTTATTAATTATTATGTCAGCTACGCTAATTATATCAATTACTACTATCAGAATAGATTTCATTTCAATTAATTTCACAAAAGAATTTTGATGCCAAACTTTTCTTACCGAAAACTAATAGACAGATTTCTAACTTAGAAATATAAGAAAGAAAAATAAATATGAACGTAAAATTTACTGCTCTGTGTTACCAAATATTAGACAACTTTCTATTAATTACTAAATTATTGTTTATAGTGCATCACATTTACGGAAAAGTGATCGTGTCCGGAATTATTCCAAATATCCATTTCTGTATTACAATGAAATCTACGTTTTACAAGGAGGCTATAATGCTTTCTATAATACTGACGATAATTGTTTCAAGGTAACTTCTACTATATTACAAATTCTTAAATTAATGGTTGAACTTTTGTGAATCATTAACTTTTAACCTTTTGAATTGTTATACAGGATTTATGTGAGCCAATAGGTTATGTGTCTATGCGAGATAAGAAGCACTCGGATGTACTCAAAACATATCATATGCATAATATGCGGAATGGAGTTGGTTTCGAAACCGGAATGTTTCAAACAGCAGTAATTAGAAAAAATACCGATTTTCGTCGAACATATTCAGTTCCACAGATGCCAGAATCACCAACTGCTTCAGAATTTTCTTCTGAACGATCTCCCGAAAAGATTCGTCCTGAAATTGCTACAGTACCAATGCTTGCTAATCCACGTACACCAACCGGACGCAAAAATACTCGTTGAATTTTGATCGCTGAACGGAAAGCTTATCGCTCGTTAGACCATTTATAATTAAAATTTTTCTTATCTTTTGATATAATGTAACGTTCATTATAACACTTTTTTGTATATATTTTGGCATTTTAGCCAACAAAAACTTTATTTTCATTAGAAAATAAAAAAAAAAAACAAAAAAGAAAAAATTTTTTTCTCAAGAAATAATCATTTGTGATGAGGATTTTATATACAAACGCTATCATTTTGTCGGATAAGTTTGCAAATGATTACATTGCAATCAGTTCCTACGTTTAGATTCAATTCCTGATCAGAATTTATTCTTTTTTTCCCGGTTTACTATCTTTGTTACATTTTATTTCCAATAATTATTATATTTGCAACTATTTTTGTAAGGGTATGCTTTGGTTTTGTTTATTATTCCGGTTCATCATTATCGGATTTCCACTGCTACTTTCAAACATCATTCAGTCTTTCTTTACATTTATAATCCAGTAATGATAGTTTTGCAAAGCATAAATCTTGCTTTTATGAACACTTCCCATTCTAATCAGACACTGTTATCATTACTCGATTATAAATATAAAAAAAGTGACACAGACCTAAAACGTTTGGAAGTACCAAGTTATTACTTTATTGTTTGTAAGGATTTAAGTTTTGCGGTACTTTTCCGAATAACGTGTTTCAACCAGCTAAAAACATTCCGAGATTGCTCTCTTTCAACCCGGTTCCACTATCACATCATTTTGTTATCAACTCTTATCATGTCGCTTGTACTTTGCTTCCATATGGTAAACTGCCATGATTGATCTTATTATTTCTCTTTCTATATCAATTAATTGATTTTTCCATGAACAACTCGGTGATTCAAATTTAAGCTTGAATATCTTCTTTCAAATAATTATTATTTATTGGAATAAAGATTATACAGATTTAATTAGACTTTATAAAAGACAAGTTGAAATCAGTATGCTTCAAAGAAGTAAAGAAATAGTGAGCTTAGAGAGTTGGTGAAATTAACTTCTTAAAGTAAACAACGCAAGAATTTGTTCAAGTCAAGAGTTAGTGAACAATTATCCAGTAGAAAATAAATCAAAATTTTCGGTTTCACTTGCCCCTTACTCTATTTTCAAAAGTAACGTGATGAAAACAAAAAAATGACGATATAGCGTATCGTTTTTCATACGTCGATTTTATGAACCATAAAATGCAAATATGATTTTGAATCATACAAATCAGTGATGTGTTTCAATATAACCAAATCATTGTCCAAGGCAATATTATGATTTAAAAAAAAAAACAAAAAGTATTATGATGTGCAGGACTTGGAATTTTGGAGGTTAGTATAGCAACTGGAACCAACAAAGAAACCTTCTACTTTTTACTTGTATTTCTAAACGACAATAAAAATCAAGAACGCCAATGGATTCAAAACCGAATATGTCAACACCAGAGATAACATCATATAAAAACTGAATGAAATGGATAAAGCATTAAATGATAGTAAAGTTAGGATATTAAAATGAAAATGTGATCCTTAATGGATGTTAATATATGAAACATTTCATAAAAATAGATCTCTTTTCATCATTTGAAAATCAAATTCATTCAGAAAAAAGTAATCGCAAATGCTGTATTATTTTAATCCTTCGAGGACTTGAGTAAAACAAATGTCATGAATCTGATTCCAAGTTTTCGAAAACAATAAACATAATACTGAAAAGCACTATTATTCCAATTCTCTTTTGTCAATCACGAATAATAATAGATGAAATAGAATAATCAGAGCTATTACAGCAATGATAATAATGAAACAAATTTATGAGAAAAGCTTTTAAAAAATTGAAATTAATTCCAAGCAGATTTGTTTAGTCGTTGCCTCGTGAACTGACGTACGCCATCATTTTTTTGATGCCGGAAATTGTTGCGTGCAGAGTCTAAGAAAAGATGCACTCAATAACTGCAGCTGACTGTTCCAACTACTTAAGTTAGATTTTTTTTAACCAAATTTTTTTTAAATTGAGCAAATAGTGTCGAGAACAAAATTTTGCACGTGGAATAAAGGAAATAATGCTCAAACCTTGCTTCATAAAGTGTAGTAAAAGTTGCCAATGATGAACAAAAACACAATTTGGTTAAAGCTAATTTTTGAAACGCACCTCGTCGACTTCTTTTATCAAACGGTGAATGCATTTTTCTACCGCTTCCACAGTGATCCTCAACTTCCAATGCATCACTTATTTCAATTATATTGTTCACATTCTCGTCATCATCCGTGTCAAAATGATCCATCTGAAGGTTTAACTAACTTTCATGTTAGAAAAAGTATAAGAAATATGCATGTTATGGAAATAAGGAAGAATAGGTCAAAAACATGAGATAATATTTTTATAAACATTTGAAAACTAATCATTTTTCTTCAACTTTATGATAAAAAGATAGAAATATGAATCTTTTAATTCATTAGAGTTTTTCTTTCAAGAATAAAATCATTAAAACTTAAGTTACATAACGAATGATGATACAATTATAAACCAACCAAATATTAAAAGTCTGATGAAAAATATCGAATTGATTTAGATTAAAAATTAACCTGATAACGTGCTTCATCGAAGACTCGTAGTGGCCTTTCCTCCATGTGATGACATCTTTCTTCTTGGTAATCGCTATGAGAGTTATCTTTTGAAAGCATATTGTTATATTTGATATTTTTTGAACAGTAAGTCATTGAATTCCCTGGATGATAACAGGATTGCACAGATGGATCTAATCGTTTGCTATACGCCATATTGTGCTCTATCTCATCGTCATCACTAAGCGCTGGAAAGTTTATTCCTGACGGAAAACCATTCTTTATATTCCTTCAAAAACTGTGCCATAAAAATGGCTTTGCTTCAGTGAAATAAGAGAAATATAACATCAAAGAATATACATTCTTCCTGAAATCGCTAAGTGTGTTTATTATTTATTAATAATTTTACTTTGCTACCATGGAGCTAAAATTACACAGCCTAAAACAGCCAATTATAGCAGAAAAGAGTACATGGTCGTAAGATCTTGCAACTGTAAGGAATTTAAGGGTTTTTTAAAAAAACAGCTGAGAATATTTACCAGGAATGATGCCATGTCTTGCCAAATATTTCCTAGAATCGTAAGAAAATGCACATGATGCAGGCGGATTTTCACAATGCTGAATTTGTTCAACAGTCATTTGTTTCATTACTCGCGTAGTACTTCGAATCACAGGTGAAATAGGGTGCGGTTTTTTTTCATGTCGTCGAGATGGAACCCTCAAATATCAGAGAGAAAAATATTAAAGGCCGCTCATACTTGTTTTCATTATATTCTCTACAATACTGATTGCTTGAAGGCACGTGAATTTAGCTGAAATGCTGAAACAGATAGTGCTTTGAAAGCATGTAATTGCAGATAAAACTGTGTAAATCTTTTACTATATGTATTTATTACAAAACTCTACTAAGTAAGCATAATTAGCAGAACTAGACCTGCCAGTATCTCCTTTATTTTGGTGTGAGGCGAAAATGTCGAGACTTTTGTCTCCTCCACATTTCATTATGGCTTCATCAATCAAACGTTTAAATTCTTCGTTTTCAGCATATTTTCTTTTCATTATAGTCCACTTAAGATCTTCTTTGGATGAACCGCCAGTAATTTTCTTGCTCTGCAGTCATACTTCATGCTGTGAGACTTAAGAGTAACATAATGTAGAACTAATATGACTTCCTTTCCTTTACATTTTTCAGGCAATGGATATGGAAAGAGTTCACGACTTTACCTATTCTGCTGAATGGTTCCATTAACTTTCTGAAAATGACACTGCTTACGCCTCAAATTATAGTATCCTTCACTAATTCATAACCAGTGTCGTCAAAAAAAAATTAGTTTAAGCTAGCTTGGAAATATATACTAAGTTCCAACTAAAGATGAAGCTTTTTGAAGAGAACTTTTTATTGAAGAGAAGTAGACACTCACTGAATTTGGAAAAAGTTCGCCACATGCTGTAGGATTTTCGTCATCGTTTTCAGTGATGTGTTCCAATACAGCTGTCTGCTAAACAATGAGAACTTATTTGTATTCCATAAGAAATTCTCAGTTTCTATCATAAGAAAATCATTGTTGAAAATTTAAGCCTAGTCAAATTACCAATATCGTTACAAAAATTGGGATCTAAAAAGACAACAACGTTAGGAGGTGTATTTTCTTTGCCACGATAACGCATATCTGTCTCAATTCTTCTTTCACATTTTTTGGTGTCCTCGTTACTGCTACCGGATAAAATATTAAACTGTGCCAAACCACTTAGCATTTTCTGTAAAGTGAGCTTTCACTTATAAACGGCCACAAAGAATAACATTAATAAAAAAAAAAATGTAATAAAAAATAAATGCTGAAGGAATTCCAATTACTATTAAAGATAGAGAAACGTTTTCAGAACAGAGAAGAAAGTAGATTATATTAACTGGCTGTGTAATAAAAAGAATTTAACAACGATAAAAACTATACCACCTTCATCGACTCTGTTAGTTTCAATAATTGACCACTTCTTTCTGAATCCCTCATTGTCAGCTCATCGATTTTTAATTGCATTTCATGCATTTCTTCTTTTAACTTTTCAAACTGCAAAATGTATAAATGTTTACAGTTACCTCAGTAAAGAATTTTGTCTCATGGTTTATGTCAGTAATGTTCTACGCTTCTATAAACTTCTGATTTAATGATAATACAGTCACGTTCAGTGCTTCCGTGCTCGTTTTACTTTGCTTCAACTATATGCTGCAACGAGCTTACTCACGTAAAGAGTAATGGATCGCTATTTTTATAAATAGATTCGTATATTCAAGATAAAAGTATTAAAATTTACTAAATCAAGTCAACCTCTCCTTAAACCTAATTATAAAATCCGTGCACTGATGAACTGGAAAAGTATGAACATACTACCTCATTCAAAAGTTGTTCATTTTGATCGCTTGTAGCCATTTTAGACTCCTTCTGAAAGCTTGAATTAACCAAAAATTTTCGATGTGCTCTTGATGTGCCCTTAAATTAAAAAAGTTTCTGATAATGCATATATTCTTACAATTATCAGTGGTCAGAATACGGCCCACATATTATTGCAGAAAAGGAGGCTAATAAATAATCGTTTCATCGTTATAATTCTGTGTGAGCTAATTATTATAGTATGAGTGGGAAAAACCTCTATTGTTTGCGACACGTTTACAGTTCTTCCGAATGCTACTGTTTTCTTTTTTTGTAATAATCGTGCCGGAGCTGCTTGAGGTTTTTCCGTCTTTGTTGCTGTCTCAGCAGAGTGTTTTAAAACCAAAATTCGTTTTTCTTCACAATCTTTCTCAGTATTTTTAAATTTGCCTTCAACTCTATTCAACGGTTTAATGGTTAATGTCTTCTTCAAAGCAGGACGCAGGGGTTGTGGAGAAGTTCGCGATTGAGGAATGGACCTGAAATGAAATAATTGAATTAAAGAATCTAAATTTTCTAGCAACAAGAGTGAATGCACCTAAAAACAGTTGCGTAAATCGAAACTAAAATTATCTGTATGAATCTTCTCAACAGGTTATTATCTATAAAAGAACTATTTCAACCAAGAAGAGGCTGTGTCAAATAGAAAAAGGAAAAATGAATTAAGAAGGGAAGATTTGCCGATTTATTAGTAACTTTATGATGTATAGACAGGCGAAGAAATATGATTAAACTTGAAAAGGAAATGAAAGAGGAAAAATAATAACCTTTTTGTATTAGCACGTAGTAAAGTAGCTAATTTACAATGAAACCAGTAACAGCAAATAGAAACATAAAATACTTACTTGCAGTTACAGTCAACTCGCGCGCTAACAGTTTCAAAAGACGTTAGTAGTTCGGGAGAGAATGGATTTGATTGCTGAAATAAAAATGTTATGTCTAGTTAAAAGAAATACTTTGGTAAAAAATTCAAACAAAGAATTAGAGGAGAAAATTAGATTAAGATACCTGATTTTTAGTAGAAATTTCCAACTGGTTTACAGCTGCTGTTACGGGTAAATTGAAATCAAAATTTAAATCAGGAACATAAGAAACCAATGAAGTAAGGCAGTCTGGCCGGTTGGATGACATTATCCAAACATTTATGACGCAGAAATAAGAGGAAAAATTTTTTAGATTAAACAGAAAACGACATAATGATGAAAGAGCACGCCTAAGCGTAGTATATCTGTTACTATAAACTATTAAGCAAAGCTTCTGCCTGCATTATTTTTGAAAAAAAGTGACCACGGGGACAATGGAACTACTTAATTCAGGAAAAAAAAAATAGATCGAATTCGCAGCATCCACCAATGGAAATCTGCAGAAGATGGATTGAAAATCTTATAGCTACTATAATGTCATATCAGTCCATATCCACAACTCCAGAAGACCTTTACAGTAGCAATCCAGAAAAACAGATTATGAAATGAAGAAAATTTGAAAAAAAAAAAAAATATCAAGAAAGTCTTTTCACTGCTAAAATAACGGATCACCCAAAATGAGCTGCGTAGGACTCCATGATGATTTATAATACGTAATACAAGTAATAAAATATGTTTCCGCATTCTTGATAATTGAAATAAAGCAAGATAATAATTCCACCATAATCAATTCCAGTCTTTTAGAGAGTAAAAGAAAGAAAAAAGAAGCTAGGGAAGTGCGAAAGAAGCTCAAATATAGATATCAATCGAGAAATTTAGAATTATTTTGTAATCCATATCTGCAGAAAATGATGTAAAAAGTTGATAAAATGCTAATAAATCTGTGTTGGAATGCTAAAGTTATAAGAAACAGAAGCTGATGGATAAGACAGATACATTTTCATTCAACATGGTATCAAACAAAACACAATTATACTGCTCGAACGAATACAGAATCTTATATTAATCAGGATCCAATAATTGATAAAGTAAATGATTAATAAGTTTAAATAAAAATATATCAATACGAGATCAGCTCGATCATAACGAATGATGAAATACAATACAATGATTAGTAAGATTTCAACAGAAATGGAGCACTGTCATCACAACAAAAAATGAAGTGGAGATCGAAATTAGAACTAGAAAGTAGATGATGGTAATGCTGATGAAAGTATGAATGGCAAATAGGAAGAAGTCAAAACTATGAGAAGACTAACAAAATGCAACATTCATGAAATCTGTATGAAATAACTTTTGTATGAACCTCAATGTACAATAACGGTAAGACAATACTACTACTATTACTACACTACTACTGCCGATGGTAATAATAATAACATTAGCGATGATAATAATAATGATACTAATAATGACAGATGAATTTTGGAGGACAAAAAGGAAGAACCCGAAATTACGAGAAAACTAATAAAACTTCATGAGATATATATGAAATAACTTTAAATGATATAGGTTTAAAAAACAAAAAGCATTAATATTTGATGAGAAATTCAGTAGATAAAACAACAAATTTACAACACACATATAAATATATATATAAATACATGCAATTAAAACGTTATGAGGTATCATACAAAACTATCAAAACTGATTAGAAAAGGAAATGAAACAAACAATATTCTATCTCGTCTCAAAAAATAATGTCTTTACTAGGACCAGGACCCGGATCATTTCCTTTAAAATCATCATCACTAAACAATCGACGACAAGTACTCCTTCTTGGTGCATCTCCTTTTCTATCCCGTATAGGACGGCTCTTAGGAGTACTTGGAAACTGTGATGGAGACTCGGGTGAGCTCATAAATAAATGCTGCAAAAAATTACGCCACTCAGTGTTAGTTTCCTCAATTCTATATTATACCACTTCATAAAAGAAGCTCATTAAAGAGCACTGAAATAACTAACCTTCGGATGCATACGAGTAGGTGTCTTCATGTTTACATCAACTTCCATAGCACTTGTATTTAACTCCATGCGCTGTCTATTATAGCGATCTCTTGCCAATGTATGATAAACTGAAGCAACTGTTCTAATGCGATGATATTTGTAATTCTTTAGTTCTTCTATATGTGCTTCATCATTCATTGCCACATACCCATTTGGTTCAATAAGATCCTAAACATTTGGTTCAATAAGATCCTAAACAGATCTACATATATATCGAAAGAACAATTTTATCAAACTTATTAAGGAATTTGATAGTTTCAGGAAAATCATAAGATTTTTTCAAAATTTCCAGCATATATATATATGGCAGTTGTAAATTAGAATGTGTTATGGTGATTAAAACCCTTTTACAACCCAAAATCTTTCATAAAGATTCTTACTGGTTCGTTACTAAAAGACAAGTAGAAATTGCGATAACCATATTCCAACAGATACATTTCCGGATAATCTACCGCTGGATATCTTTCAAAATTGAATTTACGATCAAGTGCACGCAATTCATATGCTCTAAAAAATATTAAAAGACAATTCTTCTCTTTATTCCTAATTGAGTTTTATCAGACATAAATTTTGCATTTAACTTTACAGTACTTAGTGAAAGGATTGACATACATTGAAGGTCCTCGTTTTTGCGAAAATTCGCAATAGAATATCGGCTTTTTGCTCATTAATTGTGCTCGTACTCTGATATTATTAGGATAAAAAACCGCTTCAACGTCAGCTGGATCGAATAAGTTATAAGCACCCTGTGAGATAACCGTGCAATTTGACAAATTAGAAAACTCGAATGAGTTTACAAATATTTCGTACTTAAATCAGCATTTCCGTGTATGTGTTGCTCCTTCTAGCAATAATTTCTAGGAAAAATGAGAGAAACAAAAAAGGAAGACCACCCAATATATGAAATGCACGTGAAGTTTAACTATCATATTCTTATTTCTCATGGTATAGTAGTCACATCAGAGCTAGTAGATATCCTAAATACATTGATTCAGAATTGTGATTTAGGTACTATTATGCTAATAACCAATTAAAGTTGCTTTGCAAAATGGAAGAATTACGCGAATATGTCCACCCATAAACTCGAATGGATAACGACAATCGATAAGTATAAATCGTTCTGCAAATTGTTCTTTTGTCATCGACCTGAGCAAATCGGCCAAGGTTTCTGCACTAATACATGCAAAAGCACTTGAAGAAATATCAGGATTTCTAATTATATCCAATTCATACTTCTAGAAAAATAGCAGCGTTTGCTTTTGAACATCTTGCTAAGCTGTTAAATTTTATACCTTTGGTGTCGAGTGGTATGTTCCTTAGAATGTCTCAAAAACAAAAACCTGGACGAGTTCCTTAACAGAGTGGATATCAGAAACTCTCTACTACATCCCTTCAAGTAATCACTTTTTTATGATTTTCAAATGCTAATCGAACTACCTATTCAATAACTATGACATAAGAGTGACATACAACATCAAGATGAGAGGGTGGTTCAGGCTCTTTGTTGTCACCTGTTTCCATAAAACTTGACGAATGAGATCGATTAAACATAGCTGAAGGAAATGAAATATTTCCTTCATCATCCAAATTATTTTCATCCTAAAAATTCTGCGATTATTTGGTAAACGATGGAAAACAGATACAGTTCAGCTATTTAAAAGCATTAAAAAAATTGAAGAATTACTGCATGAATTAATAAGCTTAGAGGAAATTTTTCATAGCTTTGTTCGTATTTATTTGGCTAGAATCTCTAAAATCTGATCATACCATGCAATAATTTTTCTCGGTTAAGCAAATTCTAACCATGCATAATTGCGTTATTGAAGCCAGATTTCAACGAAAATGTTCAGACAAATTCTATAATTATATCTCGAAAAAAATTTTTTCAAAATTGTTATAAATATTGAAGAAATTACTTCAATTGCACTGTCCTGACTAGCTGGAGATGGTTCAGCCATATCAATTTCCATTCCTTCTTCAAAATTTTCATCAGTCCTACCATTATCGCTTTCTTCCGCTGACTCGCCGTCTTTCACCCTTTTTGCGCTATCAGTACTACCCGTCTCATCAGGTATACGACGCTTTTTATAACGAGATTCCAGCTTATTTGGGGTTGACGTTGACGGAAGTGAAGGAGAAATCAAGCTGTTGCTACTGGTACCTTGCAGATGCGCTCGGAAGCTGAATTCATTTTCCAGATTTTCAAGATCATCTTCATCATCGCCTCGACATTTCTCAATGGCGCTACATTCACTAACTGTCTCGCTATGTCTAAATTTCATTAAAACTGATCAAAGTTCCTATTCTAATTACCTAAACCATTAATGTTGAGCATTCTCATTTACCGTGTAATTGCAGTTGGAAATAAGTTGGAAAGTTTGTCAGAACTACTTCTGCTTGATGCTCCCCGCACGTTTTTGAACCGAACAAGTCTTTTGAAAGCAGGACGCTGTTGAGTGCGTTGACACTGTAACTGCCTTGTCATGCTGTGATTACCAAGAGAACTTGATTCATTTGAAACACTCGAGCATCTCTTATTTGGAGTTCCAGTCGTAATTTGCGAGAAACTGCTTCTATCTGGAGCTCAAAAAAGAAATATCAATATGAACTCTGTTAGAACCAATATTTTACTAGGAATATTCAAGATGTTGATACAAAAAATAAAGAGTTCACTTGATAGATTTAATGGGCTGATGATCTGTGAGTATTTCGAGTATTTAGAGGTATTTTCCATTGAGGAATGGTCGAGTGGTAAGAAATGAAAGGCTGCAGGATGAGATCGCACTACAGGTGTTCTGAAAACGATGTCATGATAGATACGGTACTTCTTAAAATATACTCTTTCTTTTGTACTGCCAACAACAAGACAGGTGAGTTATTACAATAACAAAATAAAACTGACATGTACAAAAGCAGTCAATCATCCCAAAATATGCTCAACCTTCAAAGAGAATATTTATAATAAATTCATTTCTTTTCGCATTTTTATAAATTTATTCTAAATTCATAATTTTAACTGATAAAGGATACTAAAGGATTTATTTTCTACAATCAATGACGAAATAAGTGAGTGTTATAACAATTAAAAAATCGATATATATATAAACCAATAGTTAGCCAAAATTTGCAGCTTAAAACTAAATTTTGAAATTGCTTAAAACTTACGAAACATTTGTAAGATCCAGAAGTGAACTGCGAACAATGTGTCGATCAAATATTTCAGAAGTTTGGTTAGAAGAATAGTCAGTAGACCCAAATTCAAATTTCTGCAAAAAAAAAACAAAAAAAAAATTTGTTCAGATGATTTCATAGCATACTGAACGATTTAGATAGCTCAATGAATGTTACTATTAAGAAGAAAAGGAATACCTCAGCAAGTGATTCTTTCTCCATAACGTTATAACTAGTATTCAGTTCAGCAGAAACAGAAGTTTTTGTCAAAATCTGGGAAACTGTTGCAAAATTTTGATTGCCATCATTTTCCGATATATTTTGGTTATCGTTAGAACATGGTAAATTCTGAAAATTGACGGCGGCAATAATAAAGCATAGTATTTAGAATAGGCAAAAAGTAGAATTTATATGCAGTTTGTGCTTCTATTTGGACGAATAAAAAAACAATGTTTGAATTCATTTTTAATAATATCAAAAAGTATTGAAATTCTATTGTTGTATGAGTGTGAAAGTTAGTGAAAGTCAGTTAGCGTGAAAGTTTCCAACAATATATTCCGAATTGTATGCCCACTTAGAGCGAATAGAAATTTGGGCTAAAGTATACAGTAACTAACAGTATTCATTCTATATCTCCAATATATAAAAGAAACGAAAAAAGCAGCCAGTTATTCCATACACTCGAAACTGAAACAATCAAATCCAATTGAAATAAAACGGCCATTGTCAACTGACCGATGATAAAAATTGACAGTCAGCAATGATCGCAAAAACATAGAGGAAAACAACATTTCGTCATTTTCTAAAGCTGATATAAGATAAAAGTTAATAATAAGGTTCATTAGCAATTTTTGGAACAGAGCATGATTTATGCTTTATGAAATCTCATCCAATTATCTTTACTGATTATTATAATATAATCAGCAACAGAAGCAATGAGACTATATGACCTCTTGCGATCGGTCTTATCCTCCAATGATATAAACCATCGATACATATTCTTCAAAAATCTATCGCATTCAATTCAGTAACTGATTTCCGACTCATTACTCATCTAACAAATCAATAACGTCTAAAATCTTAATGGTTGTTCCAAGATGCCCAAATGAGAAAAGCGCGCAAGATAAGTACACCAACACAAATACTGCAATCCAAATGCCATCCATCCTTCGCGGGCTCCCTCTCTGGTCAAATTTTTGACCTTTCACAATACTCTTCAACGATGCACCACCTACTGCAGCACAATACTGCCCATACTAGTCATAACTTGATTAGATATCATTTGATGAAACTAATCAGTCACTAGAAAAGAACAGAAGTGATCCAGGTTAGCAGTTCATATGGAACGAATGTTCTCGACTGATTCTACCAAGTTATAAAAAGTTCGAGTCTTTAAATTTCAATTCATTAGTGAAAAAATCCGTAAATCAATTTTCTGTACTCAAGTGTCAGTTAAAATATATTCATTGCATATAATATTTCTTCCACAGAACTGAACAAGAAGAAAACATAAGTGAAAGGTAAAAAAAAATGGAAAACACAGAAAGAAAATGAAAGACCTTGTTGAAAGTAAACCTTAACACGATGAGCTATGCTTTCAAGAAAATCTAAATTGAACTGATTTTTTAAACAGTGTTTCACGAATTACTATAATCAATCTTTGTATTGGACATAAGTTTTTTTTTTCTGGCAAATTTGTTCATTAACACAAAAATAAAAAAATGAAAGCCATTAGAAGGAATGAAGTTCAGGCGAAAATAAGCAAACGCACGAATTGAAATAAATAACTTTAAAAAATGAAGAGGCAAAAGAGAATATATCAGAAGATGTTTTACAGATCTGTAGAAAATTAGACAGTAATATTAGGAATTACACACAATTGCAAAAAGAAAAAAAGAAAAAAAAAACTTCGGACTGATACTAGCACATTAGTTGCAAAACAGAATTCTATACAGTAAACATTTGAAATACTTATATATCGTTTGGCTGGAAAAAACCAAAAAAGACTTGAGAGAATGGAATGGATTGGAAATAAACAAAAGTATTCAGAACTATTCTATAGTTATATTACAAAGCATTCAGATGCAAAACATCTCTAGACTACGGAGGAAAAAAGAGATGCACATCCATCGAAATTTCAAAATTAAATCTAGAAGCTAAAGATTTTAGGTTACACTGTATGAAGCACTTGAAATTTACGGGTAATCGGCATCAAAATCAAGCAGTATTAGTTTTGTGTCTTCCGTACCATTACGTGAACCTACTGCGCAAACTAGCATTGTTGGCGTCGACTTCAAACGCCATATACAACCACCGGAACCACCAGAACGAAGTCTAACTAGGTCACGCACAAACACACCTAAACTGTTGACTGCATTGTAATGAATTAAAAAATGAAATTAGGAGCAAATATGTTGTAAATAAAATAATAAAGTTATAAGTTCATCAGTAGAAAATGTATTAGAGACCAAAAAAAAAAAAAAAAAATCAAAGACCCATACTCTGATTAACCATTATAGAACAACGACTTGTATTAACTGATTTCTGATGGTTTTATATCCTGTTAACCTAACAAACTAACATACCCTGCTTGACATCCCACAGTTTAACCGAGCCATCATCACTACTAGTTGCAACTAGTCCATTTTCGAGAAACTGCAAACTGGTGACAGCAGAAGCATGCCGGTTTGGGCCAGACAGAGTGTACTTACACTGTCCATCCATGATATCCCAAATCTAAAACAGATTATCAGCAACATAGAAAAAAGCTCGCACGGAAAAAACCAAGAAATATTTTTTTTTGTTTAATAAAATAAGTAGCAAAAGAAATGAGTAATATGAAAAAAAAAGAACAATAAACTAATTAAACAAATAATCAGTCACTCAAATCATTTAAGACATTTAAGACAATCTGAATTGAATTAAATTTTTTTTTTTTAACATAACTTTAAGTTACTTTAGTTAACCTTACTTGCAACTTTAATTTATTTACCCTTTAGTTTCATATAACTCCATAATTAGAAAACAAAAACCTTAATTGTACTATCAGCATTCCCAGAAACGAGAATATTGCCTCGTAATTGCATGCCTGATGTTAAAGATTGATGACCAGTTAAAGTTTGTGTACATATCCCATCACGAATATTCCATACTTTGATCGTAGTATCCAAACTACCACTAACAACTATGTCTCTTTCACTATCAAACTGCAAAAATATAAGTCACTGTTTTTCTCCAGCTCATTTGGACTATTAAATATACATCACTTTTCACAAATTTTATAAAAGTTAAAAATAAAAAAAAAAACAAAATTTAAAAAAAATATAGGAACTTGTAAAATGATTCTCATCGCAATTGTAATAGAGAATTTGTATAAGAATATGCAACACAACGGCAAATAACATATAAAATCATAAACGTTATGATAGCAAATAATTTTCTCACAATCATGAATGATCTGAAAATTGGAAATTAACTTACTAATAATGAATAAACTCGATTACTGTGACCAGTTAGAGTGTGCAAGCATCTACCTGATTCTGCATCCCAAACCTGAAATATTTCTAAAATGCAACTGAATCAATATACCTTAATATCCAACAAAATTTTGTAGTCAATCTCTTTCAGCTCATAAAGTATTGATGAGAATTGAACGGACAAATTACAGCGAACTCTTATATTTTCAAATGAGTCATAAAATCAAATTTTATTAAGAAAAAGTATTTAGGAAGTAAGTATAAAAACCATCTCCATATAAAATATCTAAGTTCAATAGTATGTATCACTTGAAGGCATTAGCAATGACTACTCTGTAAACAAAAAACTAAAAATAATGAAAAGTGGACATGAGAAAACTAAAAAACAGAAATGTTGGAAATTACAAACCTTGACGGAGAAGTCATATGCACCAGAAACAATACGTACACCATCGAACTGAACACAACGTACAGCTGCTACGTGACCTTGTAAAGTGCGTATACATGTGCCATCTTTGATGTCCCACAAACGTATTGACGTATCACGAGATCCAGTCACAAGTCTTAAATATTAGATTAGCTTACTTTCTTTTTTCCTTTCAAATATTTCAAGGTAAAATGAATAAAGTATCACGAAAGGAAATTTTAAAAAGTTATATGAATTTCTAACGATAAAGACTTACTTATCTTCCCTCAGTGTCATACAACGAACCGTACTTGTATGACCTTGCAAACAGTGCAAACATCGTCCTGTCTCAACGCACCATACGCGTACTGTCCGATCAGTAGAACCACTTGTGACAGTTTTACCATCTTCCGACATCTGAGATGACCAGACACCACCAGTATGACCCGTTAATGTTTGCAAACACTGAAATTCGAACAGTTAGTACTGTTAAAAAATATGAATTTAGTTAAACACAATTTGACGTAAGATTTCGAAATCTTAACTGCTTCCGAATCTTCCATCAGTGATCTATAATTGCAGTCTCAAGTCAAATATTCAGAAATAATAAAATGACACCTTTGTGGTTCGAAATTTAATCTGATTGCTAAAATATTTATGGTTTTAAAGATTTTACAACGATTTTATTATAGTCTAAACAACTTACTATTGCTTTACTGGCTGACCATATTTTTAATGTATTATCATCCGAACCAGTTACAATTAAATCCCCATGGATTTGCAAACATGTAATCACGTGTTCATCATGCCCCTTTAAAATACACGACCCACGAAGAGGACGGTAACGCCAATTGGCCAAAATACGCTGATGTCGCAAGTAAAGTGCTTTCCATTTTGATCTATTTTAAAATACAGTTACTTTACTGATAATTCAAACTTTTCTCCAATCAAATGTCAATGCTTTGCCAACACACCTTCAGTTCGAAATCGTTTAATAACCGCGAGAAACAAAGTAACAATTACCTTGCTAAACAAACATTTTTTGGTGAGTCATCTGTGTCGGAAAAATACCTAAAAATTCTTTATCATCCAAATAATATGCGGATCAAGAGAATTCTTTTTTCGTAATAATATGTAAAATTTAGAAATCCATGTTAAAATAAAATTTTTAAAAAAAAAAAGACTTAAAATATTTTAGCTCCACTAACAGCTTTCTACATGAGTCATTTATTTTTGTATATCATTGCTCATGAAATAAAAAAAATTCAATTACTGAGCAGAAACAAGCGTGGACCCATAATTTATCACAAAAATTTTGAAATATCCTCTCTCAATTTCTGAATACATTAAAAGTTACAAATCATGCTGATTATTATAGGCATCCAGAAGTTTCCAATGGGAATAAAACCAAAATATCCATAATAAAGAACAGAGTGATTCCCATAGTACATTCGAGAAACTTACCGAAGCCAATGCGGATGATAACCAGCAAACAATGCAAGGCGATAGCTAGGAACAGGACGATATCCAACAATTTCAATACCACTTGTTGAAGCTGTCTCTGCCCATGCACCGCTTTTTCGATCACTGTAAAAATGAATAATTAAACCTTTATAACTGGTTTTTTCTTCAAAACAAAATATCCATAAAATATCTTCTTTTTTTGTCGACTTATTTTTATTGCATTCATGAACTGATCCCAATTCTAACTGCTATTTACCTTGGCTCATCTATAGTTGTGACA